GATGCCAATGGTGGCTAGGCGGATACATCTGCATCATTAGAAAAAAATGTTGTAGTTAAATTACTGAAAGTTTGAGATTTTTGTTCATTGGTATTATAAAGTTGTTGAATTTATAACTTAATGTTTATTGTAAGTTTTGTTATGTAGTGTTTATTTTCAAGCTTATTTCATTATAGTTCCTAGATTGCTGCTAACTTTAATTTCTTAAATATTGCAGCTTGTATTTTTTAGTAAATTCACACATTTTTGTTGCATTTGTAAGTTCGATCATCAATTAAAAAAAGAGGAAAATATTTTTTTTGAACTACACACTCCTTTAACCCATTCACCCCATGTGGCAAGAATAGATGCCATGCCCACTGGGATACACGTTTATTTATTGTATTTACACATAGATGGCTCCACAAGTTCTTATCACCAAATAGCCAGTTATCAAGAACTACATATCTCACTTGTTTCCCCTTTTCCTTCACTATAGGAAAGGGTTTTTGTATCATTTCATTGTCTAAAATATTTCAATGACAATTTAGTAATCATAACATCAATATCAATAATAATAGTATTGATAGCAATGGTATTAATTTTCCCGCTAATTCAATGAATGGGAAAATCAGGATCGATAACTAGGGTCTGCTGATAGACTCCTTGCTGGCTGAGCACATGTGGAGCCATCTGTATGTAACAAAATTCATCCAAAATACAGGGGACAGAACATAAATCCGGGGTGAATGGGTTAACATACATCAACTTGAATGCAAAATAAGTGCAAATGTTTGTGACCTAAGTATAAACTCATATTTTTATATATAAATAACCATAAATACACTATATAGCTCTGGAACTATTAATATACTCATCCCCCCCCCACACACACATTCATATGTATATGAAATACATATGCATACAGGTATGTGTATATATTTATATATTTATATATATATGTATATGTATATGTACTTACACACCCACACACACAAACACACATATATATACACAAATACATATATATAAATATAAATATATATATATATATAAATATAAATATATATATATATATATATATATATATATATATATATATATATATATATATATATATATTGTATATATATATATATATATATATATATATATATATATATATATATATATATATATATATATATATATATTATATATATATATATATATATATTATATATATATATATATATATATATATATATATATATATATATATATATATATATATATAGATATATGCATGTGTGTTTATATATATGCATGTGTATATGTATGTATGTGTGTGTGTGTGTGTGTGTGTGTGTGTGTGTGTGTGTGTGTGTGTGTGTGTGTGTGTGTGTGTGTGTGTGTGTGTGTGTGTGTGTGTGTGGTGCATGGTCTCTCTGTCGTGTAGACACTATGACCTGGAAGGAAGGTTGCAAACTTGTATGATGGGGGTGACTCTATGTCGGGCGGACACAATGTCGCAGTGACTGTGTTGTGCAAGGTCAGTACATACAGGCAGTTCGGTGTCCTCTGACCTTATCTGCCCTAATTGTTCTAACTTCCTCTTCTGCTTCCACTCTGCAAACAGATGACCTTATATTCCTTTCAGCTGTGTGTCTCATGTCTTTATCTTGCTTATCTTGCTATATCAAGGAATATTCAAGGAGTGAGATATCATTCAGGCCTGTCGCATTATACCGCCATACCAGGCAACTGTGAAACTGAGAATTGGCCATACTTACGAAGGAACAAGGTGGTGTGGAGATGCTAAGACAAAACCTGTGGTACCAGGTTCACACCATTAATGGGGATATAGTAAAGTGGCAAAACCCCATCCATAGGCATCCTGCTGTCCCTGGGAAGGCTAATGTAGATATACTGGCAGCCATGAAGGAATGTGCTGCTGAAACGGCAGAGCCCATTGCACATATCATAAACACATTTTCCGCTTGAGTTGAAGTCGGCTGGGCTCATTTAATACCCACGGTAGACGCCGTCAAGAGGATGTTGATGTGAGTGCGGAAACAGGCAGGTGTGTCTGATTTTCAGCCATTTCGGACAACATTTAGTGGAGAGGCCTTCCAATGTTATGAAGACAATGGAATGATGATCTTTGCAGCAGACTCTGATTTGAAATTTCTTGCTGAGTCTCGTCACTGGTTTGGTGATGGAATGTTTAAGTTAAAGTGGCCCTTGTCAGCTACATACTACAGTACATACTCCATGCATACTTTGATGGTATAACATATCAGTGCATCTATGCAATGCTGCCAGAAACATATAATAAAATGTTGTATGAGGTGTTCCATCTTACTCCCCTTAGCTTATCATGCAATCCAGGGACAATAATGATAGATTTTGAGAAGGCAGCAATGAACTCGTTCCAGAGGAATTTTCTGAGTGCAGAGGTTGCTGGATGCTATTTCCACCTGGGCCAGTCTGTCTAGAGATGCATCCAAAATCTTGGTCTCACAGCACGGTACAGAGATGA